TGAAAAGGAAACAGGAGGGTTATAAAAGTAACTCAGGCTGGGTGCGGTGGCTCACACCTGCACTCTGGGAGGCCGAGGCGGGAGGATCATCTGAGATCAGGAGTTCTAGACCATCCTGGCCAACATGGTGAAACTCTGTCTCTACTAAAAATACAAAAATTAGCCGGGTGTGGTGGCGAGAGCCTATAACCCCAGCTACTCGGGAGGCTGAGGCAGGAGAATTGCTTGAACCCAGAAGGTGGAGGTTGTAGTGAGCCGAGATCGTGCCATTGTACTCCCGCCTGGGCGACAAAGCGAGACTCCATCTCAAAAAAAAAAAAAAAAAAGTAACCCAACCACTGCAGACAACTGCCGAGCAGAGTTGCCTAATTAAAAAGACAACTTGTTTCTCTGAAATAAATTAAAGTGAAATTCTTCTAAACCATCTGTGAGGTGGGGCAGCCTGGCTTCTGCAGGCCTGTGTCCACGTTCTTTACACAGAGTCCTTTTGGCACTTTGGGCTGTCCCTCCCTCAGTGCCCCCACTGTCGCTTCTCCCCTTACAGCCCCTCCCCAGTCCATATCCACGGAGAAGATGCACGGAAGGGCAGGAAGGGGCTGGGCCGTTTCTATCAGCGTCACTGGTAGGGCCTCTGAAACATGTCGTACATGCCTCCTTGCTACACTTCGCTGGAGACACTGAGGCAGGGCGGCAGCTCCGGCTTCACTGCCGTTCACCGGAGGGTGGCACTCATTCCACATCCTTAGAACTGTTTGGCGGATTCTGAGCACCTGTCCTTGGGAATGGTGGATGAGGACAGAAGCCTGGCTTCCTAGACATTTCCTGACCTGCTGGCCCAAGCCTGAAGCTCACGGTGGCAACACCAACTTTAATCTGGGCCCTGGGATCCTAAAACCAATTCATGACCAAGGAGTGAAGATTCTTAAGTTGGAGACTCCCAGAGGCGGACCCAAATTAGAAATAATTTATATCAACCCTCCCATTTGGGAGGACAAAACAGAGGCGTCTGGTGAGAAGGTGAGTTAATGGTGGTCTGGCTTCACACGCAGGGCCTTTGCTCCGCACCCTGTTCTCAGCCACTTCCCCAGCTCCTGGGGCTAGGGTTCCAGCTGACCTTAACCCAGCCCACACACCACTCCGAACACACATTCTCCAAAGAGAAAGGGGAGCGGGGAGATTCAGGGATGGCAAGGCCCTGAAAACAAATGGGTATGTCCAGATCCAGGCAGTGTGAGAAGCAGAGGCTCGCTCTTAACCCCCACCAGGTTGGCAAAGTGCCTAACAGTGCTGGTCTGAGGACAGCTGTGAGGAACAAATGGCTAATGCGTGTCCAGTGCCTTGTTAGTTTCCAGCCTCTGATCTGGACAGTTTAATCTCTTTTACCAGCCTGCCCCTTTTCACTGGGATCTGGGGTTTTGGTTCTTTCTTTTCGCTCAGACAAGTTATTTAACCTCTCAGAACCTCAGGGCTCACTACTGAAAGTGGGGGTAACAGTACCTACCTCCTGGTGCTGATATTCTGAGGCAGGCATTGAAAGAGTTAATGAATGCAACACTGGGCCCACAGTAAACATTCTAGGCGTCTTTTTATTTGTATTCCAGTCACTGGGTAGTGGGGCTGCAGAGTCTCTGCAATACGACCAAATGCCTTAGGAGAATATCCACTGAGCGCCTACGGGGAGACAGTTCTAACCTCTCCCGGGGTGCTGGTCCTTTCTCCCCTGCCAGGGAATGCTTGAGCGGCACCATCCTGGGCACTGCTAGTGGATTTCCATGCCTAGGACAGAGCGGCTGAGGACCTGGAGATTCACTCTTAGAACTTAGGCTACGGTGGGCATCTGGACAAACCAGTTCAGGTGCTGGACAGACCAGGGCAAAGACAGGCCAGCTGGATCATCATTACGCCCGTTCCCGCCTAGAAGGACTTTGGGTAAACTGAGGCCAGAAACATCAAGGGACTTGCCAAGGTCCCTTAAGAGTTGGTGACCTAGCTGGAGCAATACAAATGATGTTTAATGAGCATTTACTAAGTGCTTTAACGGTACTGATTCATTGAATCCTCCCCCATCCTATGAGGTATTATCACCAGTCATAGGAGGCCCAGAGAGGTTCTAGAGCTTGCCCAGGTCACACCGCGAGTCAATGGGGAAGGGCTGACAACAGCACTCATGCTCGCGGTGTCCTGGGGCCCTATCCGCTGCACCACCCAGCCTCCTCCCTTTGGCTTTCAGCCCAGCTTCCCCGTGCGTGGGATCTGGAAAGAAGTATCCCACTTCAGTCTACACAGCAATGTTCCATTGGATCCTATCACTCAGCCATCTCCTTCATCCCCCTTTCCACCCCCTCCTCTAGGTTTCCGAGAGGGAGTAGCAGGGGCGTGGCGCCCGTTTCCCCTCCCGACAGCCCCCAGACCCCCGGCCCCATTACAGCACGTGGGCGGCGATCCAGCAGGAGGAGGCGCAGATCCACAGGCCGAAGGAGA